GATAGAATAGAGTGGAGGTGCGTGTCCAACCAGTCTCAGGACTGACGGACCTTATGATGATAACGACTCGCAATGTGTAAGTTGAAGACAGGTGGTATCCAGCATATACCTTCTCATAAGTAGGTAGGTACCTTCAATTGCACCATCGTATACTTGCATATCGGCCCACACGTACAGCATTTGGCGCATATAAAATGTCCTACTGCACAGTTCCCTTTTACGAAGTTGGACAGCGACACAGATAATACAATTTATAGACCAACACAATATACGTCTTCTACTCACACATTATAAGTTAATATATCAGTTATCTGTTCACCATGCATTACGCTTTAATCGAAAACGACATTAAGAAGCCGTAATAGTACCATTAACATGTTTCATGTTTGGATATATGAGTAAAGTTCGCCGGACCGACCGGTTTATTCATCGGGCCCACTCGTTCCGTACGGCTCTGATAGTGAATGTTCTTAAAGCCTACGCCAAGGTTGCGATTTTAGTGTCAAAAATGGCCCCATCATACATATTAACAACAACAACAACAACGAGCACAATATCGTCACATTAAAATACATTTGAACGTAATTACCCACAGAAATATGTAAATGGATTTGATAATATGAGTTACAACATCCTCTGCAAACAGGTTCAACCACCAGACTTTTACCATTTAGAAACCTATTACACTAAATGAGGGAAAATTTGAAATGATGCAGTTTTGTAACTAGCAGGTGGATAATAACATAAAGTATCATATATGACACCCCACATAAAGCTTACAGCATTAGGATTCTTACTACTTAAAACTCAAAATCCTTACTCTATTTATTGTGGAAATGTGGATTACGCATAAGAAAGCAATAGTTTGTTTGAAACATGGACTCATTTCTAGACCCACAAAATCCTTCAGGAATAGCCACATTTATTCACTCTGCTTTCAAAGCTTAATTCGTAAATATCTATTTTAGACTATGAAATAGCAATTGTTTTTCTTGATGAAGATACTACTCTCACCGATTCATTTCACGACCCACAAAATCCTTCATGAATAGACTTATTTCATATCGTTTCCATCCTTCTACATTTCCGACACTTATTTTTAACTCGTCTGTATTAACCTTTCTTTTCACTACATTCCTTTGTCCCACCTCTGTCACTATCCTGAAATAAAACGACCCCTATTCCTTAAAATTTCCATCAGTCGACTTAGCCCATCCCCATCCTCATTCACCAATTTACAGCACTCATCTTCACAGACATTCTACCTCCTTGTCGCATATCCTACACCGTTTGTCCTCTTCCTTTTTCCAATATTTACATCCCTTACACTTACTTCCTGTCCTTAAGTTTGCTATCATGTTTATCTCCCTCTCTCCTTGCTTCTAAATACCTTGGCACCCAATTCCTTTGCTAATCTTCCACAAAACCTTCCTCATATTCTAATTCCTCTGTTTTTCTTAGATTTTCTTCCCTTTCATTTTCTTGCACCAGTTCCACATCAATTCCTTTTGATTTTGAATCTCATCACAGCCTTCTCTCTCCCTCTATCATATCTCTTTTAGTCCTTATTTTCAATACCTTCTTCCTCTACATTTTCTTCCTGATGTCTTTCCAGTCTCCTCAACCTCTTCACACAATTTACTATCCTTTCTATACCTAATTATAAACCTAATGTTACTGGGACTGAGTCATTTACAGATCTATAAAATCCTTCCGGAATGACCTTTTCCTATTCCGCATTCATACCATGATACATAAATAACTACCTACAAATCGATTTTTTTTGCCATGTGCAACTGTGAATGATGAGAAATCCAATTTTCCAAGATCGCATACGTATACACTTTCAGCGACGAAAAAGTTGACGCTTATTTGTCATTTAAAGTACATACTGTAGGTAATGTAACAATCTCCACGTTCAACATAAATGAATTAAGTATATGAATGGTTTAAGTTATTACAACGCAGAAAAATAAATTAACAAACGAAACTGTTTTGTTATCAAGACACATTAAAATTCCTTTCCGTTAATTTTAAAAATCAGTTGGAATAACAGCGTAATTATTTTCAATGGCCTTGTTATTTATGGACTACATTTAGTTTTAAATATTTCTTACAGTACTTATGAACTGTTAAGGGTCGTAGAACTCGAAGAGCAAAAGAAAAATTAGTTAAATAATAATTGCTCTTAATTAATTGTTAATAATCCAATAACATACAATTATATTTTGACATCAGTATAGAATATATATCAAAATTATAAATTCAACTTTTTGAAAAAATCAAACAAAAGTCACATTTATTTTTCAATTGTGATTTCTTTTTAAGTCACTAAATCTAATGTCAAAACTCACAATATCAGGTATCAGATTATATAATATATTAATGTTTTGAACGAAAAACAACCTGACCGATGAAAATTACCCAGGATTCCATTCATACTCCGATACATAACTCTTCAAGCTGTTTAAATAGAGAGAATGCAACATAGGAACAACAGTGTTCCTTACCTGCGACTAGTCGAGAAAGATAAAGGTATCTTTTTCTTCCTTGTGATAGGTATAGAAGTTAGTCGATTTATTGTTCCAGTAATAAATAATAAATCCTAATAAATATCCAATTCTTTGTTGAAAAATTAACATAATTTCAAACTTTCTGACAAAATTATAACAAATTAGATATTTATGCTTATATTCTTACACGAGCAGCTGCTTGATAAAATGGAAGACGAGCAACGCATTGGATTTCGCAACAGACTATAATAAAGATGATTCCAACCTTGACCTGATTTTCCTGTGTTAGTAATAAATACACAAACGTAACTGTCATTTACATAAAAACTGTATTAATTATTTCTAAATGGTTTTGGGTTTTTACCAAAACATGTGCCTATCCATTAGCAAATCGCCCACCATCCAAATTAAGCAACAGAAAGGAATAATCCTTTCGTAACTGGCCAGTCCGATTGGATATAAAATCTAAAATCCAAAAACCTTTAGAAACCCTAAACCCAAGGTGTCACATTCAGTTGGAGGAGTAACCAACGACGACCCACACAATTGATTTTTAACTGCACTGTTACTATTTTTGCTTTACCCTATTCACGATAAATGTGGGATGGAGAATTGTCTTAAATCAATGGTGAAAGGCATCGATTCCTATTCGGTAACCTCTAGAGTCTAGAGTAGTTTATGTGACAAGTTTTATACATGCATTATGCAAACGTGAAATACTAAGTACATGATTTGAAATTTTTAACCTAGGCAAATAACTGTATGCGAATTCGTAGGATAATTTACTGCTACTTTATTGGTCACACTACACTTACCAAACATCAACAATATACACATTTCAGTATAATAATAATGCGAAAACTTATTTAATTGACTATTAAAAGTTTCTTAAAGTATTTCATATGATATTAAAGTATGTACATTAATTGTTGTTGTTGATGCTGTTACCTCTTGTAGATTAGTAGTCAGCGTATTGGCGTGTAAAGCCGTAAGTACGGGGTTCGGTTCCCGGCGAGAGTGTAACAGCAGCAACAATTTTTCCTCATTAATTTGAGGTCGTTTGTCATCATCGTAAGACCGTCAGTCCTAAAACTGGTTAGACACGCAGCTCCACTCTTTCCTATCCTGAGTTAATCATCGCATTTCCCTAAAAATTTACACCTTTAACTGAGGTCATTTCTAGTAGATAAACTTTCTAAAAAAGTTAATGTGTTTATTATTGCATTTGTTTTGCAATTATACTAAATGCTGCGGTAGCTGTTTTCCGTTTTTCACCTAATTGCAATGCAAATTTGACACTTTTATGTTCCACGGAAAACAGTGACTCAGCTTCTTAGATGTATTACAATTTTCGCAACTAAAATTTTTAAGAGAAAGCAAAGAATAGCAGAAATTTAATAAATAAAATAGACACTGACATTGATTCCTTAATTTTTCTAATTTTTTTGTAATATGCATTATTATTAAAGCATTCTACCTATCAAGTCGAATAGAATGACTTACATACGTACCTAACAGGGACAAAAAGGTACTGTAATTCGTTCCCACAGGCACTTAGTTAAAACAAATTTTTAATAATCACATTTATGGGAATATTGCTGTTATCAAAAATATTTTACTACAGCGGGTAAATATATTTCAACATTGGAAGAAATCTGTTGTCAAAATTGTTGACCTTTTGAAATAAACAATCTAGACCAAAGTTCTGCCTTTATTTTGTTGCACTATTTCACAGTGTAATCTTACCGATTTCGGTGCTGAATGTACTATGTTATCTAACACTAACCAACCAATACTTGATAAGAAATTCTATCAATTATTAAACATTCCGGCACCAATACCTTTTCGGATTTTTAAAATTCTTCAATCTTAAGTAACTAATCCATCCACACAAAAATCCATCTTCCTGATATCAAAATGAAAAAGAAAGGCGATTACAAATGTTCATGTACATTCCAGTTCTAAACCTTCTTTAACTCGAACCTCCTAGATGTAACCAGTTGTATGTTTGAGGTAGAGAAAATGCGAGTTTGTGCCTTACCCTCAAATCTTTTTTGATTCGATAAGTATTAGTTATTGAGCACATCTCCCTTAACCCTTACAATCTTAGATTACGATTTCAGACAATATAAAAAGATAAAAAATTTGGGATAAATAGAAAACAATATACAAATAAACAAAAAGCATTCAAGTTAGAAAAGATTTGGAGTTTGGACTTACAGAACTGCGAGAGCATGAACGTATTGAATTGCTTGGAAACAAGTTTTCCCTTAAATGAGAAAATCCTAGCCCATAAAATAAAAAACAGCATAGTTTCGGACAACTTCGTGAAAAGGAGTTATTTTGTACCCAAGTGGAATTAAATTCTGGTGCCAGAAAACATCTTCGCCGTGAGTTTTGCCCCATTCCGGGGGTTCATTCATTGATATACAAAAATTGCTAGGACAGGACACGGAAAGACATAAAATTTATCAAACATTGACCTACCTGACGTTCCTCTAGAACCATTCCTTTGGCATTGCCTCCTAGCCATATCGTCCACCGCATCTGACTAAGTGTACCACTTATAAAAAAATTACGAACGTATGTAATTAATAAGTGAAGAAAAACAAATGCGGCCCCTAGAGCGTACTACTAACAATGTATCTAATTAATTAATTAAGTACGTATTAGTTGTATAACTCACTGAACTATTGCTTTGATATTATTTGATTGCTAACCACAACACGGGCGATAATAGAACAACACGATCGACAAAAGTTAAAGAACAATAATTGCTGTCCAAAACCTTCACTGATCGCCACCAAATGCTCTTTCACTATTGTTCTTCGTCTGTATTGTTGCATTAATAAAACGGAAATAAATGAACGTATGAGTGTACCAACTCGACGCTTCGCGAGTGAGCGACTGGATGGCGACTATCGCGGATCCGCGGTTGGGCTGGAGCGCGCTCACAATAATCTCTCTCACTCGCTACTTTCCGTGCGACGGACGCTCGCTTAATAATAACGCTGCTAACGATAAGTTAAATATGAATCATTTATAATTCTTATTATTATCGTCAATTGAAACCGCGAGGATGGGGCACCGAACGAATAAGCGGACGTGAATATGGTTTGGTTAATAATTCAAGAGCCCATTCCATGTCTCAAGCCGACAGGAGTCAAGTGCAAGCTGGATTCGTGCACTAACGATAAGACTTGTGCAGGTACTACGAAAACCTTTACAAAAAGAGTATATCTACATAAAGGAATCTGAATGATGATCCAAATGGTCGTAATCGATTGTGGTCAAACATTAAATCCTTGTTTCAAGGGGAAGTTTGTAATTACCCATTAGCTTACTAAGCGAAGAAGCTGAGGGGACTGGAAACAAAGATTTGATGGAGTGCATATATCTAGCAGCAAGACCAAAGAAGATGACTGATTTCATCTAATCCATTTGGGGAATTACCGTTTTTTTAGGAAGAAGAACACTGGAAGAAGGAGAAGGAGAATGAATGAAGAAGAGGACTGGATTAGAGTGATAAGAAAAAAGACTGTAAGAAGATGGTTGGAAGAAAGCTTGAAGCAGAATACTGGAAGATAAAAAGTGAAAGATGAAGATTGGAAGAAGAAGAGGGCTGGAAGAGAAGACCCGAAGAAGAATGAGAAGACTGGAAGAAAAAGAGTGAAAGCTGAAGACCGGAAGAAAAGAACTGGGAGAAGATGACTGGAAAGGGCTAGTGGAAGAAGAAGACTGGAAGATAATTGGAAGAAGAGTCGAAGAAGAACACTGAAAAATGAAGTGAATGATGAAGAGGGCTGGAAGAGAATATTGGAAGTATATGACTGAACAAGAAGACAGCAAGGTGATGACTGGAAAAGACGACTGGAAGAACAAAATCGGAAGAATATGATTGGAAGAAGACTCGAGAAAGAAGAAGAATGGTAGAGGAAGAAGTCCGGAAAAAGACTGACTGGAAGAAAATGGCTGAAAAAGAAGATTGGAGAAAAATGACTGAAACAAGACTTAGGAGAAAAAGTCTAGACGAAGATGCTTGGAAGAAGAAGAAAACTGGACAAGGAAGACTGGTAGGCGAAGATTGGAAGATGACTGAAAGAAGAATTAGTGTCAAACTTCTTCAGATGGAATCTGCCACGCTGTCAATACTTATATATAAAAAATTAAGAATATCTTTATCACGCGGCCTGAATTTTAAATTACTATGCTAATACGTATATATATTACACTTTGTGCTCGTTTTTAATTTCTAAAACCTTTAAAGTATTTTCCACGTACAACTAAGTTCATATGGATTAATAAATTGGATCATGAACGTAAGATGAATGAGACTGAACTAAATTAGGATTTTAAATGAATTTTAGTTTTATAATTATGTGGGCACGTTGTTCTATTAGAACTAATTAGGCGACTCTATTTAAAATTCTACGCTCACCTACGCACGATTACAACAGGTCGAGACCATATGGCATTACGATCCGCTCTGAACTGAAACTTTCTCAGGTAGTATTATTTTATTATGCTCGACATTTTATTTTCATCCTTGAAGTCCGTCAGCACAATAAAAGTGGAAAGAAAAATGTAAACATAAATTTAGTCTTTAAATATTTTCTTATGTTTCTCTCGACTTTAAGTAAAACAATGTCATTGTTCACATTAATAAGCACATATTTGCTCTAGTTTATCTTCAAGGGTACTTCTAATAATATACAGGGTGCGCATGTAACAATTATTTTAGGTTGCAGTTTTTCACTGTTTTATTTTAGGTGTTTAAGTTTTTAAACAAAATTTGGCTAGGGAATCGTCGTTTTAAGGTTAAGGTATTTCTTGCTTTACATTGGAAAACAATGACAAGTTTATTCAAATTTGATTTTTGACACACTTTAAAGATACGAGATAAGGCAAATTTAGGAGATTTTCTTGCTTCAGTTGTCCAGTTCAAACTATAAGTCTTCAACCTTTCCTTTGATCTATGAATGACAAACTTCATTTGCTTTATGAGAGTTTTATTAATTGTTTTAGCTGTTATGCAATTATCAAAATAGAGTTCCGAGGATATTGAAACCAAACTATTTGTGAATCCAATAACTCAACAAATGGTTGTTTAATGTGCAAAAACAAGTATATTCAATATAAAAGCTCCAAGACTATCCAAAGCCGAAAGAATGATGATGGTGACAGTTACATATGATTTAATAGTCATTAATCAATATTGGTTTAATGATTTAGTATGGAATTAACACGTATGTGTCAAAAACCCCAATAACAATAACAAATAGGTACAATCTAACCCTTTAATTTTTTATTATATTATACTATCATATTCTGGATTTCCTGCCTTCCAAAAAGAAAATTTTAAAATACTTTCATAGGATTAATTACGTAAGTATTCCTTCAAAAAGACGTGAAAGAGTCAGCGATGCCGTCGTCCAGTTTCCAAACAAGGGAAGCCATAGAATCAAGCACACAATCACGTTGATGTAGCCTGGCAATCTCACTTAATATATTGTAGAAGATGTGGAACGGGATTGAATGCCTATATGCAAACGATGTTATGGAATAGAAATCATGACTTGTGTAAAATAGGACATTAACCTTAATGAGGTCCTGTTATAATACGGAGGGCCACCTGCCGCTTTTTACTGATTAGGTAGATTTATGTTTCATTACAGCTCCAAAAATGGACAAACCAACATGGCCTTGTGTGCACCATGTTATAGACTTCTTGACTGCACGAGCATTACAAAATATTTTTAACTTTTACTCATTGTCAAAATCTTTTTATTCCGAATTATAAATGTAGAATAATCATTTGCACACAACATCTACGTTTCATCATAAGGAAGAGGGATATATAAAGCAGAGGATATGCTCGAGAACGGTTAATTTAGAAATTCGAAAAAGATTGTTGAGGCTGTATGTTTGGAGCGCGGCGCTGTACCGGTTCGAAACATGGATGGTGGGCGCTGTGGAAAAGGAAAGGTTAGAAGTGTTCGAAATGTTGTGTTACAGGCGAATGATGAGGATACCGTGGATAGAGAAGGTTACAAATGAAGAGATAGTAGATGATGAGAGAAGAGATGAAGAGACTCTACGGAAGTCAATAAGAAATAGGCGAGATAGGTAGGTAGGACACCTTCTCAGGCATGAATGTCTAGTCAGAGACATATTAGAGGCAGAATCTGAAGTTAGGAGGGGTAGAGGTAGATTTAGATAGATTACTGTTCGCAAATAGTCAAGGATGTGGGATGTTCTAGTTTTAGGGAAATGCGAAGATTAGCTCAGGATGTAGGTCCTAGAGAACTCTGGCCTTCTTTGTTATACTAGGGTCATTGCGACAACACACTATTGACCACACTGATGCTTCTTCGCGTATGGCGGGGTGCATATACGTTACAATATCAATTTAACAAAACGAACAAATAGAAACAAAAAAATAAGCAGTATGTCCCACCGTTTGTAAGGAAAACATTCATAAATTTTCCTTGATCACTACCCCATAGAATCCTGGAGCTTTTCAGTTTTCTAAATTTCAAGCAAATTTATTTGTGTTAGAGCTTTTTCCGAATAAACGTCCTCTAAAATTTCAGTTTAGTTGTATTTTTATTTAGTAGAATGCCATAAAATATTCAAACAATCGTATAACGCATCTGATCTTTTTGATCACTTTCCGACATCATTTTAAAGCTGATATCAAATTGTAAAAAACAAAATCAGTAGAATTCTTCGAGGTATGTATATATATATTGTAGATGTAAAAGATCAAAACATTCCTTAAGTTCCTGGCGCCTAAAAACAATTACCATTACAAATTACAATTTACGATCGTATTTAAATGATTTCCGAATCGTCTCGTAACGGGACCTCTGGAGCCCAATTCGCCAACGCGATGAACTTTACACATTATCATACTGTATAACATAATAGGTACATATATAAACCATTACTATTTCGTTCTATTGTGATACACGATAATAAATAATTTTTCCATCATCGTCGGACACGTAGTTACCTACAAGACATCACATCTCATCCGTCCCTAAACATACTCCCAAACACATTATCAACATGTGCGTCCGGATTCGCAGAAGTTTATCATCGTATCAATATGCGGCGCCGTCATATTAAAAAGTCTCATATGCATATATATAGAGTTGATATTTGCTTAGTATTAAGAGGGTGTCAGATCTCGCGGATGGTAATGACCTCTATCATACTGGCGCCGCGCCGTTACATAGAGCATAAGAATTGTGAATGCCCAAATGGAGCATTCGATGTGACAGAAGCCTAGCGTTAATTATTTTAAACGCTCAGGAAGACACTGTCTCATTAGTGGATTGGGGAATCAACCCTTTCCTACAAATGTAGCTTCTTCAATATCTTTATTAGTCTTTCATGATGCAAACGTGAGTTACTCAAGTTGTGTGGCATCTTTACCTGTTCTTCTTTTTCGTAGAACTGAAGGTAGTTATTTATTTTGATGTTCTGTTTTTGATATTCACGAGCAAATCTCTCCAGTATTAGAAAGATTAGAAAGAGTAAGAGAACAGAGGACTCTATGGAGAAGTCAATAAAAAATAGGCGAGATAGGTTAGTAGGCAAGAAGGTCTAGTCAGGAGGGTTAGAGGTAGACCTAGATTAGATTAGTGTTCGCAAATAGTTAAGGATATGGGTTGCTCTGGCTTTAAGGATATGCGAAGATTAGCGCAGGATAGGAAAGAATGGAGATGCGTATCCAACCAGTCTTAGGACTGACGACCTTATGTTGATGATGATGAGCAAATCTCCTAATTCAAATTTCCTCACACAACATTGAAGTAATCCATACGTTTTAAAGCTCTTGGGGAACTGGGGAAGTACCCTTCCTACTTCCCAAGTTACTCCCTTTGGATGCGCCAGTGGGATAGATGAGTCTAGCTATTCAAAATACAGAATTTGTAGATTTATGTATGTCACCATAAAGAAAACTCTCTTCAAAATATGTTCAACGAGCTTTGAATGTCCCGAAAGAATA